CATTAGTTTTAATTTTGTGAAGGTAATCTTCGCTTGGAATATTAAACATGAAGTTTTGTTGATTGAGACTTTGTGTGTGAAGTTTCATTTGGTAATATTTTTCAATATTTTATTTTTTTATTTTTATTATTTTAAAAATATTGAAAATATTAATTTAAAAATATTAAAAATATAAAATATGTTTTATATATTTTTAAAATATTAAAAAACTAAAAAATTTATAACTATAACTACAAATTACCGTTATCAAACTAAAACGTAATTTTCATCATGGCCAACCCTAAGCCGGCAAACTTAATTATCTACGGCAACGGGGTAAGTCTAGCATGTTTCATGTAGGTCCCACTGCTCCAAACTTAATTAAGTTTAGTTAAAATATTAATTTGGTACCTTAATTTTTAAATTTATTTGAAATTGTTCTTTAACTTTAAAAAATATTAAAATTAATTTTAATTTTCAAAATCAAAATAATTTTTTTGTTAATAGAAGTACCATATGACTTATTATCTTATCACAAAATGAGTTTTTTTAAAAATACTAATGACATGTAAAATTAAATAGTTTTATTTTGTTATCATAATATATTTTTATTTACATATCAAATTAATATATAATTACATTTGAAAGACTAAATTAGTATTTATCATAAAAGTTTAAGAATTAGGTTTTTTTTTAAAAATTTAAAAACTAACTTAGTACTTGTCTTTAAAATTTAAGAACTAAATTTATAAACACATATTTTCAAAATCAATAATTTAAATAATTTAATAATAATTTTCTTTCAATAAAACTAAAAGATCTTGAATTAGTTTTAAAAAAATTATAAACTAATATTATAAAATTCTAAACTAAGATGAGTAGTCTTAATAAAATTTATGATGAGAATAATATTTAATTATTCCTAGCTGGTAGCTTATCTTTATCCAAAATTCCTATCCACCTTAAAGTTCAACTTAAAAAAATTGAAACAGATTATGGTTTTAAAACTATCTGTTACCTTTGTTACAATTAGCAAGAGGCGTGGCATAACAGTTATTTCTTCATTGGACAAGGGAAAACGGTAATGCAAAAGGAGGGGGACGGGGAACCCAAAAGTAGTACCATTCATAATTGATAATTCAATGCCCTCCAAGCAGTTCCAGTCTTTCAGAGCTTGTATTGTTTTTTTTTTTTTTTTTTTGTTTTCCATTTGGTATTTGGGACTT